CCAAAAACTAAACAAAACCAAAAACTAAACAAAACCAAAAACTAAACAAAACCAAAAACTAAACAAAAAACTAAACAAAACCAAAAACAAAACCAAAAACTAAACAAAAAACAAAACAAAAAACCAAAAACAAAACCAAAAACAAAAAACAAAACAAAAACAAAACAAAAACAAAAACAAAACAAAAAACAAAACCACAAACAAAACAAAAAAAACCTAAACAAAACGAAAAACAAAAAAAACCTAAACAAAACCAAAAACAAAACAAAAAACTAAACAAAACCAAAAACAAAACAAAAAACTAAACAAAACCAAAAACAAAACAAAAAACTAAACAAAACCAAAAACAAAAAAAACCTAAACAAAACAAAAAACAAAACAAAAAACTAAACAAAACCACAAACAAAACAAAAACAACAGAAACCCAAGCAAAACCAAAAACCCAAAACAAATAACCAAACAAAACAAAAAACAAACAAAAACAACAAACACCAAACTGAAACAAACAAAATCAAAGTAAAAACAAATAAAATAATGAAGCAACAAAACCAAACAAAAATTAAAATAACAAATAAAATAATAATAAAAACAACAAAACCCCAAAACAAACAGAACCGAACAAAGAACACAAAACCCAAAACAAAAAAATCCACCACCCTGAACTAAACCCAAAAAAACAAGCCAAACACAAAATCACAACAAAAATAAAACCAAACAAAAGCAAAAACCAAAGTAAACCCAAAGCAAAGCCCAAGGATAAACAAAACCTAAACAAACAAAATAAAACCAAAACCCCTCACAAAATACTAAAAAAAAAAAAACAAACCCACACACAGAACCACAACAACAACAAACACACTTTTTTTTTTTTAAATTAGGATTTCTTTTATGAAGATATGGATCTTCTAACAGAGAAACTAAGGGCTCTGGCTACTGATGGAAACAAGCACCGGGCCAAAGTGGATAAAAGAAAGCAGCGATCTGTCTTCAGAGATGTTCTACGGGCTGTTGAGGTGATTCTTCTGTCTTAGTTACAATGCAGACCTTCAAAGTACATAGTGTACAATTCAGGGGAAATTGTTTTATTATTGAACAGTATTACTGTTCCAGAAAGCAACAGGAAAAAATATTCGAAATGAGATTTCAAATTCTGATCACTTGTGTGAAGTAGAACTGGTTTTGGTTTTTTATAGGAATATTGGAACAAGAAGTAATTTCTTTTTTTGTTTTGCTCCAACCTTGACTTCCATATAGAGAGGATCTTTTTGCTTTAAAGAAGGCTAAACATTGCTCTATAAATACTAAATTCTTTATTTTACACCATGAGCAGAGTTTTTTTCATTAAAAACTTTGTATGACATCCAAATTAATGTCCTGAATTCTGTGAAAAGATTTATTTGTAAAATCATACTGAACTGCTGTGCATAATAGACAAAAAGTAACTTAGTAGGTATATCACAAGTGATACCTGTCAGGGGCCATGGAAGCATTTGTGAATGGGAGGGGGAGTCATTGTCCTAAATGCAGTACCATAATCTTCTGTGTTTGCATATCCAGATTATGAGAATAATACTCAAAGCAGGACTCTAAAAATACTTGATTAGTGACATAACTGAGTAAGCCTCTAAAACAGATGTAAAACTTGTTACCATGTTATTTATCTTACATCTCTGGAACTTGATTTTTATTTTTGCTTGTCAGATAATTTTTTCATTGCTGTATGGTTAAGACCAAGTAAATATTAGTTGATATTCAGAATAGTTAGACATCTTGAAACCTAAGGAGAAGGTTTGGCAGGATTTGAAGTCACATTTAAGATTCTGCCTGTAGAGGAATCTGAGTCATCTGTTAGCACTTGTTACATTCCATTGTCCCAAATGTAGCTCCTCATACTCGAAAGGTGGGGACTAAATGAGGCTTACAGACTGACTTAAAGGTGACTCCTGCACTCAGAACTGGTTCTTCTGGAGATAGGTTTTAATTCTTAAAGTAATTTTAAAGATGAAAGTTAAGGGATGTTTTTTTAAAAAAATGCTTTCTAACTTAATATCAACTTCAAGTTTTACGATGAGATTTAACTTAAGGTGTGCATGCATTTTTATGAACAAATATAATCTTTAGTATATGCATAATTTGTTGTGTGGAAGATTTTAGTGTTCTGAATTTATCAATGAAAATAAAGTTCACTGAGATCTATACAATTCCTAGTAAAATAGACTGTTTAGATTAAAATGACATATGTTTTTTCCTTTGATTTTTGGATAGGAGCGTGACTTTCCTACAGAGATGGTTAAGTTTGGACCTGAGCGCATGTATATTGACTGTTGGGTTAAAAAACAAACTTACGATACATTCAAGGAGATCCTGGGGTCGGGAATGCAGTATCATTTGCAGGTGAGCTGCTCTTTGACATATGCTCAGACTGTTCTTTACTGCCTGGCTTCTTTGATGTCATTCAGTCTGAACTACAAAATCCTGAGTGGAACTTAGTGAAATTATGGGCTTTGCATTTGGAGTGTTAAAAGACAGCACTTAAAAAATGAACTACAGTGACCCAGAACTGTCTGGGTGAGCTGCTTCTGAGTTTTAGCTCAGCAGTTGAATTCTCCAAGAAGTAAGAGATTTAAACTGGTTATCTTTTTAGCTTCAGGGTTGTTGCTGAATCCTTATGCTCTCTTTCAGCAGAGTGGTGTGGTCATCTGGCTGCTATAAAGCTGCATGCCTCCACCCTTCCTATTTGAGCCTGTAGAAGGAAGGCAAAGTTTCAGTCAAAACCAGTGAACACAATTTGCACCCTGATGATGAGAGCATTCCAGAAGAGAAGGGATAAGTCCTTATCTCTGTTCTGGGAACCGCTTGTTTACTAGTCATCTGTTTACATATGTAGCAGAAACAGCAACTGTACCTTAGGAATATGTGCTCTGAAATTGCTATGATAATCATGGGGTTAAAGTTCTTGGTCCAGTGTCAATTGCATTTTTATGTGACTTGAGGGAGCCCAGGCATGTAGCGGCTTTGTAATTTTTTTTTCAAATACTACTTTTATAGGCAAATATTTTAAAACTGCTGGGTTGCAAAAACATATGGATCCGTGTTCAGCTGCCTGATCTTGTGTAGAACAGAACAGTTGCCTCATTTGCTGGGACAAAAAATCAATAGAGACAGGGGGAGCTCTTTCTATCTTCTCAATGGGGCAGTTTTTGTTCTCAGCCTTATTCTGATTGAAAGAGCTTAACTTAATTGCAAAAAACACAAGTTGACACTAATCCTACTGTTTCTTACTGGAATACTTGATGCTTAACAGTAGTCAGCTTCAGACTTGATAATTAGAGGAGAAATTAATTGTTTGTGTTTCTTGTTTAGTCAAACGACTTTCTTCGGAATGTGTTTGAGCTTGGTCCACCAGTAATGCTAGATGCTGCAACTCTTAAAACAATGAAGATATCCCGTTTTGAAAGGGTAGGTTATTCCACCTTAATGAATTTTCTTTGCTTCATACACTGGTACATTTCTCCTGCACTTCAGAAGCTGTTAAACTTGTTGCTTTAGGTCTAACAACGCCTCATTGTCCTGAATGAAACCCAATCTTGATTGTATGTGCCTTTGAGCTCTTCATTTAGGTTTTCCAATGGGCACGTGCCTGCTACTGCTTCTCCCAAGGGTCTGAAGGTTCACATAGTTGCTGATTGTTACCAGATTCACACTCCACACATATGAATCTTGGTCTCTTTTGACAGCTGTAGGTTTTCAAGGAGGGACCCACAGGAAACCATGGAAACAGGGTCTTTATAAAGACTGTATTGCAAACTCTGCAGTGTAAAATGGGCACTGGGAGGATGACTGTTCTGTTGCTTGTGAATGTACTCATCCTTTATGTAATTTGAGCAGTGGTGCTATCAGGTTTAATCTGGGGGTGAATTTAACCTATGTTGTGTCTGTATGATGTTCAAAACTGACAGGCTTCCAAAATTGTTTGTAGGTCAGCCTTTCTTGTACAAACCACGTTTCTTTTAAATGTATGTATATGAAAATGAATCAGCCTTTGGTGGAAGGATAGTATACTGTAAATTTCTGAAAGCCTACCAATTTACTTCAAAAATAAATAAAAAGATATTTTCATCTGTTTTGTAATATGAAAAATCTCTGAAGAGCATAAGCCTTATGAACATCTGTAATTAATTTTTCTTTTTTTATTTTGTAGCACTTGTACAACTCTGCAGCATTCAAGGCTCGGACAAAGGCTAGAAGTAAATGTCGTGATAAAAGAGCAGATGTGGGGGAATTTTTCTAGATTTCGTTTTCAATGGGGTTCAGTTTTCATAATTAAATTTGTAACATATAAATGAATTTTTAACTTCTGTAGTCATAGTTTGCAACTGTGCACAAGGATGTTTATGTAAAGTCTGTAAATATAATGCATGTTGTTGCTTAGTTGCATATACAGTGTATATATATTGATGTAATATTGGTAGCAGGGATACATTATAACATTTGCATTAGCCACCAGTTGCTCCAAAGGTTGAATATATTGTAACTGAAATGTTAAATGGAGTGGATAACTGTAGTCAGATTGGATTCTTCATATAAAGGTAAATTACTTCATGGATCAAGTGTTTTGGTAAGAATGTGCTAATATGAAAAGATAACCATATTTGTGTGAAATTGAGTAACTTTAACTCTTCAATGGCAGGTGGACAAAGAAATTTCTATATTACTATGACTTTATCCTGACAGGGACTATGGAGTTTAATAACCTCTACTGACAGTCAAGTAGTGAAACAAACACTTGCCTCAATATAAAGCAAAAGCAAGATTCTTATGTTCTGAAATTGGATATTTAATTTTTGCAATAAAGATGTTTCTCACTGGTCGCACTCTGTGTAAAAGTGATTATTTCATGATTGAACAGCTTCAACAACAGCAAAACCTAAAGGTTGAAACAGATGGGTTTGGTTTTTTGCCCATTCAGATGTGGTTGTGTTAGTCTCAGTGGTTTAGTAGATGCTACGTGACAGCCTTTCTTGCTGTCTTTCAAAGGTGTATCTTACTTGCATGTGGTCTTGCACAACAACCTACTATTGATTTGTCACTGCTTTTGTAATGGTCAAATGTTTTCTAGTTCTGGTGTTGCAAAAAAGATAAGGTGTCCCTTATCCTACAGGAGCCATTCCAGCTCCCCTATGTTCGTAATGTTGAAACCTACTCCTCTACTCTCAGTTTCTGGCTCTAGGGGACTGAAATGTGCCAGTAACTGAGAACTGTCTTAGGAATGGTGTGTGGGGGTTATGAAATAAAGACACTAAAACCTAGGTAGCTGGAGCCTCTGAACCTGAAGATCTGTAGAAGCACTTGTTTTAATAAACATTCTCAAAATGGTAGGTCAGGCTATCAGCAGAGGAAGTAAACCTTGCATCAAAAAAACCTCACCAGCCCCTGAGAACTACTGCTTACTCTGATAAGGGAAAGTTTGGTTTGGGGTGGGGTGGTTTTTTGGTTGGTTGGTTGGTTTGGGGTTTGTTTTTTTCAGGGGAGGAGTTGTTTTTTTGTTTGTTTGTTTCCCCCAAGTTTCTGGGTTATGGCAGAACCTATTCCAGAAAATTTATATATACTAATAAATTGTACCTTCTAAGTTACCCTTTTTTCCCCCTCAAATAACTGATTATGTAACAACTTGTTTGGCTTACAAAACTGATCACTGACCCCAAATGAAGGCCTTCAACTGAAATCTGCAATATGATGAACATGTGTTGTCAGTGTCACACAAGCAAAGAAGAAACTTCTGACCCTTGAACTAGAAGAAGCTTGTGCTTGCCCAGGCCAAGTCTGTCCCCTTTGAGTTAAACTGTTCCCTTAAGCCTGATGGTCTCTCCTGTGGCTTCTGGGTAGTCAGCTTTGGTGTCCTTTGCCCACGTAAAGGAACACTTTTGATAGCTTCCTGTCCAGTATTTCTACAACGCTTCCTGGCAGGTGGCCAAGCATGTGGTTGCCCTTTCCCTTGTTACACGGTAACTGCCAACCATAGTGACCAGGATGGCTTCCAGGAGCTGTTGGAGGAAAAGACAGGCTGTTTTGCTGCCCTGGAGGGATCGGATGGGTTTGTAGACCTTTTCAAGCTTAGAACTGAAGAGGCCTGAGTCCTTGTCTTACAACTATGTTGGTGTCAGGACTCTTGTGGGAATGGAAGCAAGGGGTTTTTTTTCTGGCTTGCAGATCCTTACTTGGAGGAAGGACTTCTCGGAGACCTGCACAGAAAAGTAATGAGCTGTTACATCTGTGTTGCTGGCCCAGCTAGTCAGACTGGGTAGTGGCAGAGCTTGCACGTAGGAGCTACAAGTCAGGTTTATTCTCTCGGTTTCCTGATAGAAAAGTGTGTTTATTGTCAGTTTAAAGAGGTTCAGAATTTTAGACATAGAATGGCTTCAGAAAGGATTTATTATTTTGAGCTCTGCGTGTCAGCTTCCTGTCAGTGCAGCATGCTGTAACATTGCCTTCTGCAACATCAGCAAGGAAAAAAGTGATCCAAAGAACTGTTGGTAAAGGAGCAATTACAGTACTCACCAACATTCCTCAGAATTTAATTTCTAAACAACTAAGGATGATATATAAATTAGTCCACCCCACAATAATGTTCCACTTGAATTTTTAAGGTGTATGGGAGAAGGAGGAAAAGACCTTGATTTTTCTAGTATATGCCTTTAAAATACTCATGACTACAATACTGTAGATATGACTCGTGCATAGCAAACTGGTTGCTCATAGCTACAGTGTCATAGATATGACTCTTGTGCATAGCAAATGAGTTTTAAACAGGCATTAAACCTAAAAGGTTTGGCACTAACCAAAAGGCCAGTGAAATATCGATCATCAGTAACAAACCTCATTCTCCATGACAGGACATTATCGTGACTCTGATATAATAAAAAAGAGCTGTATATGTGCTGATTTCTTTTTTAGCAGTTCAATATTGTGAAGTCAGTACACTTAGCCAAGTTGAATGCTAAATATAGACTGAAAGGGGCAGTCTGTTTCATAGCTGTCTTTATGGGTCCTGCAGGACTCAACAGGTTCCTATGGGTCTAAAAGTAGAGAGAAGAACGGCAGAACAAGTTTTCTTCACATGATTTTCACTGACTGATTTCTTCCATACTGGCACATTAACTGAATTAACTCATGTTGTAAGTAATGTTTCATTCTGCTGGGTTTTAACCTTTTAGATTTTATTTCGTTTTCTGTGAAGAATTTTTAGTGTGTTTTCATTCTACGTTCTAATTTTACCTCAGCAGCTTAAGAAGAAATTTAAAAGTTGGATCGGAGAAAAAGTCTTCAAAGTACAGGATAAAGTGAACCTCAAAACCCCAGTGTTTAGATTAGTTTGGTGGGAAAATAATCAATACTTTTGGCCAATGACACTGATGTCTGTAACCTTTCTCCTTTGTTTGTCATGTCAATGGAATCAAACAAATGTAATGTAAACTTTGTTGAATTAATAATGGTTATCTTCCCTGTGGTTACATGCACAAATGCTTAAAAAATTAATAGTAAATGCAGAAACTTATAATTCATATCAGTAATGAATCTTATTACAGCTTAAGTTGTTAAGAAGAGTCTTCTCTGAAGTTGCAGGGAGGTACTAATCAAAATATCCAAGAGAAACAACTGATCTTCAGAAGCTAAAAATAACCAAAAGCCTTTGTGCACGAGGTGCTAACTTTTAGTATGCTGTTCGAATGCAGGGCTCTGTAGTGATCGCAGTTGGCTACAGATGTGCATGTGGGGAGAGAGCAGAGCCAGTGCTGGCAGGGACGTGGTTCGCAGATGTGCTGCCTGGTGCCACATGATGTTCTAGAGGAAGGAGAGTGGACACAGCTGTCTGTTCTGAAGTTACTGCTGCACACCTAAACGTCATACACTAGGTAAGGCTAACCCCTACTATGCCAGCTTTTCTACCTTTTCTTTGTATTTTGAAGCAACAGGTCTGAACAGAGTAAAAAATAAGCTGTAATCTTTTCTTACATGCTATTAAACAGAAATATGAAAGTATCCATGTAGTCCTATCAATCTCCACTAGCAGAAGAACATTGTCAGGAGTGATTTAAGCGCTTAGTTTTCAGACTTGTTGAGGAAAACACTCAGGCTTTAGGTTTTTATTTAAGTGCTATATTAGGAGTCTGGTCACACTGTGAAGGAAAGAAGGCTCAGAAGCACATCAAGAGGGCAGTTCAACCCATCTAGGATTCATAAATCACCCTTAGGTGCTTAAAACCCTTCATCAATGAGAGGTTTGCATCCCATGAAGTGCTGATTTATGTTGGCAGGCAAAATTGAACTTGGGAGCTTTGATAAAATACTAAATGGGTAAGATGTATTCTACTCCAAATCTAAACTAATCTCTGTGAGCTCCCCCCCTTACGTTCACTAGCAAGAAAAAGGTACATTTAGGCTGCGATTCTAAGTTCAAAAAGATGTATCTTAGAATAAGAGGAATATTACCTGGAGGAATGTATTTTTCTTCAATAATTACAGAGGGAGTTTTCAGTGATAAGTGTACTCAAACCTACTACCTCCTTAGAACATCTGCATCTCCTTATAGCTAGAATTGTAGTTTGTTTCTAGAAGGCATTTTTGGAATCAGAGTTGCATTAAGAAAACCAAAAGACTGATAAGGAACAATGTGTAATTCACAGAGGAGCCTCCTTAGGTATTGCTTCTTTTCTGTATACATTATTCCTTCAAAACTGTATTTATATAAAAAATCATTCACTGAGTTCATGCACCCAGACTCTACAGAGAAACTATTTTTGCAGATTGGGCCTAATCGAGTGCTTTTTTTAAAGCAAGGAGTGTTAGTCTGAAGAAAAGGCCTTGCCATCAACCTTTAATTTGTCCAGAATTTGTCCGGTCTAGAAGACTAATTTTTTTGTTCCGTTTTTCACAAATAATAACTTCACAGTGATATTGTAAGGTGTATAAGCAGACAGATATTCTTGCTGCTTATCTCACATACCCATACTTGATTTCTCTGTCTTGTCTCTAAATTATCTGTTGCTGAAAGGAGAGGAACTGAGTGACATCCTTCCTGTCAGTGTTAGTGAAAGGTTTGTCTTTCACTGTTGTCAGAATCTCACCCTACCTCTTACCTCACCAAACCAAAGGGTTATACAGCTGAATGATTACCATTCAGATCAACGCTGGAGCCAGTCAGGCTGATTTTCCTCTCTCTTGCCCCACACACAAGCATACGTGTATGTATGCATAAGGATACACGTGCACAAACACAATGTAGAAATTAAATGTTATATTCATCAAAGATCTCCAAGAATAAACAAGTGCTATGTACTGAGTTATCAGTCCTTGCTTTCAAGATCTAGTAAGTGTGCTGGTCCTTCAAATCCCTTTATTTTACGGGTTGTTAAGGCTGCTCAGTGTTTCTTTAGTTATTTCCCATATCCATGTGTTAATTTACCTTTTAAATTATTATTTACTTTAGATACAATGGAGAGGCCTTCCTTGGAAATTAACCTGCCTGATACTCATGAAGAAGGAAAACTTTATGTAGTTGATTCCTTAAACAACCTAAACAAGCTAAATGTTTGTCCAGATGAATCCCAGCATTCACTAGGTAGGTATGATAAGTTATGCTCTGTGGTTTTCCATATACACAATCCACATTATGTGTCACTGATGACAATAGGCCAATATGTATGTCAAGCTCTTTACTGAAAAAATGTAAGAAAAAGGTTGAAAATGGCCTAATTTAGACAGATCAGATAATGATTTAGCTATCCCTGCTGAGTATTTAAGTTATTAGGTTCTTGAAAATCCTTGCATTTTGCTAGGGATTCACTGTCAAGCCTGAACTTATCTTCCATTTCCATTGGGATTTATGAGGTGATCCCTTGCAGGATAATGTCTCCAGTAATGCTCAATGTACACCTACTACATAAATAGCATTGTAACTCTTTCCAAGCACTAAAATTCACATGCAGCAATAGAAGTACCAGGAAATGTCTGTTCATTCCTTTAAGACACATCTCCTAGGGACTCAGACCACTTATCTGAAATATCCCATGAGATTTTAAGCATTTTACTTCCCAGACTTTCTTACAGTTTCAGATATGGCTCCTATACTTCTACTGTTTTCATGGGGTTTTTGTCTTTGATTTCTCACAGCAACAAGAATATTTTCACTCAGTGATAACTACAATATAGTTCAGTTCTTTTTGACCTGAAAATATCTTAAAACCTGGAGCTCTTCAGCAGCATTCCACATAACAATATTTGAATCTGCTTTTATTTCCCTTATTATAATGGTAAATTTCACTAAAGAAATCTATAGATCAACAGCTATGTTGAAATTAGTTTCAAATGGCCATAACTTAATCATGCTTCTCGTTATGGGATTTAAATGCCTTCTCACTCCATCTGTTTCCAAGTTCTCTATATTTTCCTAATGCAACTAACTAGAGTGGTGTTGGTTTCTGCATTTAATGCAAGTATGTTAGACCTAGAGTACTTAATTCTCACATGCAGATTATCTTGATATTGGCACTTCTGTAAGTACAAAATGAGACAATGGCATACCTTGGTTTTAATGTCAAAGAAACTCCTTTTGGTGTGACTGTTTTGCTTTCTTTTGCAATTTTTATTGGACAGTATTGTTTACTTTTCAGGTAAATATACAAGGTTCTGTGGAATCATAAATGGTTCTCTCCTCCCTATATGAAGGTAGCCTAATATGTATTTTATTCATAAATTTGCAAAGTGCTTTGGTTCCTTCGAGGGTTATTCTTTTAAAATACTTTTTAAGCTTGGAGATTCTGTAGATCTCTTATCCCAACAACTAAATACACAAAATCACTTTTTCACACTCCTTACCTGCCTTATTCAGCAGCATAAAATTCTGGTTCTCTTGCCAGAAAATCAGAGAGATATAAAAAGCTATTTAAAGTGTATATACATTTTGACTGCATAAGTAAGAGTGATGCAGTAATTTCTTTATGTTTTAGATAATTAAATGTTCCCACTGTTTGCTGTTTGGCAAGAATGTGTGTTCACCAATTCCACACAACACTGGCATGTTCAGCCTGATGAAATAAAAAGAAACACTCATTAGGCAGAGCTTAGACCATTTTTGAGGCCTCTGTTGAAAGCTTAGTATGCTTAACAGCAGCAGTAGCAGGCCCTGACCATCCTTATTATTCTGATTAGAAAGCAGTATTGGTGCAGGCACTCTACTATATGGTGCATTTGTTATGAATGCTAAGTGAATAACAATAGAACCTCAAAACCCAAATATGAAAACATTCCAGCTTACTCACAGGCAGGAATGTATTAAACACAATAAATAAAATTAGAGATACTCCCAGAGATGATCTCCTAGCTCAGTGGATTGCTCAGCCCCAGGTTGGGTCATTACTATAGTGCTGTAATGGCATATGCAACCTTCCCTCAGTTTTATTGCTACAGGCTCAGTTGCAAAGACCTCAGAGATTTCCACCAGCTAAAACAAGTACACGATTTAGAAATATATTTTTCAGAGATGCACATGCTACTCTCCCTTTCAGAAGACAGCAATTACAGGATTAAATTATAGCAATTTGCATGTAATTTTAGTATGTATGAGACTGACACGAAAATGAAATTCCATTAGCTTCCTCCTCCACCCAAACAGAAAATAAAACCAAATCTTAGTAAGTAGTTACAGTAGTATGTAAACTTTTTTTTATACTTCCAAATTCAAGATGAGCTCCTAAAGTTGGTTTCTTTCCTTCTCATGCAATATGACTGGAAATAAAATCTGTTGGTCAAAATTATGATGTATTCTGCATCATTTCATGAAGCCAGAAGCATTTTGTCATGTTTATCCTAACCAACCTTAGCAAACTTTATACCAAATGATTTGTCATCTCTTAACAGATGAGGAGAACACTGATGGCACTGGAGAAAACATGGCAGGGAGCAACACAAGAAATCAGTGTTTGTTCTTCGTCACTTTTATTCTTACTTTGATCATCAGTTTGGCACTTGTTTCATTTGTAATATTCTTAATAAGTAAGTAAACCAAAGACTGGTTCTTAAAAATGTAGGGCCAATGGGAAAAAGAACTTTGCTGATACGTGTCATGCTACCTTATAACATGCTGCTGCTGTATTTGCGTGGTCAAAGGCTTTGGCTGGTTATGGGCAGTGGGTCCTGGTCCTGGTGGCAGAAGCACAGGCAAACAACTGACACTCTGAGCTAAAAGGCACAGTTTTATTCTTCAACAACTCTGAAGAATTTAGATCAGGGGGGTTATACTGTGTTGCTAAAAATGCTGACTGGAAATGAAATTTAAATTTAAAGATGATTGTATGGCAGTGAGGTACTTTGACAATGTGCCTTTCACTCCTTTCCAGATACAACTCAGTATTGGTGTCATTCCACTGAAACTGGAATTACACTCAGAATAACACTTAAATCAGGCTACCTGAAGGAGGGCCTGAGGGTTGTCATCTAAGTACTGATTGGAGGTTTGTTTGGAACTAATCTCAAAAATAAGAAAAAGAAAATTAGGTAACACATATCAAGATTTGCATGTAGAACTGAGCCTGTAGACGTAATTACTGTTCCAATTTGTTAGGACTGACTGGGTAGGCTTAGCTGAACACATGGCTGCAAGTGACCATGGCTTATGCAGCCCTTGTCATTTTGGGGCTTTCTGAAGTAATAGTATTGAACAGAATATGAGGTGCATTATTTTAATTTACAAGTCTATTTTGAATGATTTGGAATCCATGTAAAATCAAGATTTCTTATATCCTGTAGTGGGGAATTTACTGGAACATAGTAAAAATCCTCATTTTCCTTTTTGAACAGGAAATTCTACCCTAACAAAATTTTCTTACAAGCACTCAAAGAATGGAATATCACACAAGTAAAAACCACAAAGTAGATTTTAAGTGACATGATTGTAAAATCCTAACTGAAATACCTTATACTTGAATTTCAGATTTATTTAATAGGAAGCTGTCTGAATTAGAGTCCTGGTATAGAAAAATGAGCAATGTGCTACTCTAGTAGAAGAATGATAAAGTAATAGTGAAAAGCCTTCTTACAGGAATTAAAGCAGTTTGCTTGGGCTCAGAGTGGTGGAAGCCTGTGGTTTTTGAAACTGATTTCCAGCAGTGTTTCAGTTTATATATGTTATGTTATATAATCTGAGATTATATTGGCAGTCCATGTGTATAGATTCATTTAGCATTGACACTATTAGATTTAACTATTCAAAACCCAGGGGTAAATTCTGTTAACTGCAGAATGCCAAAATAAAAATAGCTCTGGCACATTTGTATGCCAGAGGAGGCTGGCCTCCCAATGCCAATACTTGCAAGAATTTTCCTTTAATTTGAATGATTAAAAAATGCAGTGATTTGGCTGTAGTCTGCTTTACTTTTTTTTTTTTTCTTTTTTTTTTTTTTTTTTACTGCTGTACTACAATTAGTGCAGTAATTGTACTTTTAGAGAAATACATGCCCATAGTGAACCACAAATAGAATCTTGGAGCTCCTAAATAAGATACTTTCCTGTGGAAACTAATGGAATGGATATGCTCCTGAAGACTGCAAAATTATCTGAGCCATATTTTATTTTATTACGCTGCACTAAAGTGAAAAAAACCCCAAAACAGAAAATAAGCAATAAAAGAATGTAGTGAGCAGGTAAACCCACCAAATGTATAACTTCTTATCATTAGGTTCTACAGTTGTTTTCCTGGTTAATATTTCTGTTCATCATAATTCCCTACAAACTCTCCCAGGAATGCAAGTCAGGGTAGTGATGCTCTTGACATAACTATTGCCAATTTAATGTGTTACATTTTCCTTTTCAAGTCCAGACTAGAAACAAGATGGACCAAATATCAAGCAGACTACTGTCTGAAAAGAAGAACATAGAAGAGCTGAAGAAAATTAACAATATTTTATTAAAGCATCTAAATCAATCAGGGATTAAGCATAAGTCTTCTGATCTTCATGATTACTTATTTTCCCACGCTGAGCTCAAAGTCCCTGGAGAGTAGATCTTCTTTGGAATGAAATTCAGCATATTCATGACTCAGATATTTGTACATATGTCACACAGATTGCTTAAACATTCTGATATGGTCACCAGAGCATTGGAAAAGCCAGCTGAATGAAAAATATTAGAAAATAATATTTTATCCTGGTTTATTTGGACATAGATTTTTAAAACTAAGCCCATTGGATTCACAATAAACAACAGTAAGGGCCTAGTTTTACTTGAAATGTAAGTGAATGATCACAGAAAATCATGATTTCTATTCACATGATTCCAGCATGACCTTGTTCAATTAATCATTCTCCTGTTTCTTTGGTACAAGTTTTGTGTTTGTTTTTAATATTATTTGCATTTAAGGATAACTTTGGATTTCATAACTTATAAATAAATCCATTTCTGCCATAGAGCACTGTGGTTTTCATTTCTGTCCATTTAAATACACTGACTTACTACTCTTTTTGTGAAAAATCTCCAAACTGGAATAATAACAAACCCTTTCATAGCATACCATATTCTGCCCAAATATGTATTGACTGAGTGGTTGTGCTATTGTCTAAACCCATGAAAAATGGGTTTAGAGGATTCAGTCTGGTAATTTCATAACATCATCATAGCAAACCCATCTCATAGCAATGTTAATATGCTGTACTTGGAATTTGAGGGACGTTTCGGGGTGAAGACCAAGTGTTTTTATAAAGTGATGTGGGAAAAATGTAACATGTTCTTGTATTCTTCCCTATACTTGCTGTTGGCCACTATCACAGAAGGGCCAGGTGAAATATGGCCGGAACCTTCATGGTTTAAAAGTGGAGCAATACCTCAGAGGGTGAAAGGAGCCAATGCTTTCTCACTCTGAATTTACACAGTTGTGGAGACCAACACTTGAAAGTGTGAGCCCATAAAAGATTGCTGCTTTGTCATTTTAGCATTCAGAACCTGCTACTGGAACATACATTATGAAGGCACCTCCAATATCAATAAATAAATTGGTTACTCCCATCGTGACGGCACGATGGCAGTTGACACTATGGAATATGTCCAACATCATCTCTTTTAGTTTGAGTTCTCCTTCTCATCTAATTCTTTCTTATCTCTTCAGAACAATTTTACAAAAAAAATTCACCAAAGTCAACAGCTTGCATTGCAGTCTCCTTTTCCAGAATGAATGATAATCCTTTCTGTGATGACTATTTCATTGTCTACAACAGAGTGAAGAACTAAGTCAAGGAGACTTTCTTGGATTTGCCCAGCAATTCTTTTCCTTTTATTAGGAGTGTTTAGCTTTACACCTATGTTTTACATCATCTTCTTTCTATGTCCTGAATTTTATTTTCCTGATATATTACTGTCAAATTATTCACATGAAAACCATGAAGTTCCATTTTACGAGTTTATTACTCCTGCTTCTAATTCCCAGCTGCAGTTGTAATTATCTCCTCTAGACATCTCAAGTAGTATTTATAAAGATGACTCAAATATACCTACCAGGGAATGATAAAAATGATGCAGAAAAGTTGTAAGGAATATCTTTCTGTAAATGCTGTTAAATGATAAAAGAAAAACTATCTTAAGACTAAAAACATGACACTTTGCAGTGTTGCTTCTCTGTTCTTCTAAGCTGTCACCTGCTTTTTAGTGGCAGTATTAAGTTCTCATCTCTCCCACTCACATTGTAGCTACTGTAACTGCCCTCAAGTTCCTGCCTTGCACTGTCACATGCCAGGGAGAAACAACTCTAGTGTGTGGCACTCAGTGGCAAAAAACACATGGATTGCACCCTGATTTCAACTGCAGCTATCAGAGCAGTCTGTGTGGTCCAACAGAAACTGATAACAAGAGCCAATAGATTATTTTTCTGGCAGGAGACTGTAAATAAAACACATGATAGAACAACAGTCCCCAAAGAAATGAAAGTTTCCTCATCTCTCTGATCTTGTCCTCAATTACTCTTAACATGGTTGTTCAATCAGTACTCAAAATAAAGCCACTTCTTCTGTCTCTACTATTGATTAGAAGTGTTGGGGTTTTTTTCACTCCATGGTTTGATCCTGCAAGATGCTGAGTGCCCTCAACTGTGACCAGCTGGGGCATAACAATGTACAGGCACACTCAGTATCATACAGGACTGACTTCCCAGATCGACCTTTTCATACTTAATTGCTTCTTTGCTTGCAGTGATCAGCAATTATAATCAGTGACTGAAAAAGTGCAAAGGTCCAAGGCTGATCCTGTTAGCACTGCTGCAACTCAGTTGTTGGGGCCGCAGTCAAGAAGACATGGGGCAGCATTGCTTACAGCTGCTTATGGCTTCTCTCTCAAGTAACCAATACCCATTTACAGTCAGAACTGCTTCTATATTAGGGTTGAGACGGCTGCCGTGACAGCAGAGTGCCACAGTCCCTCCATCAACACTTTCTGGAGTACCCCTTAAGTGGAAACAAGTTGCGGCTCCTTTAGGGGAACATTTCTTTCTGATCTACTAACAGTGAAGGAGTCCCAAACAAACCCATACTGGACTCTTACAATCTTGTACAAATTTGACCCTTAAGTGAATTTCAGCTCGTTCTAGAGCCCCACAATTCATCTTGAATAAACAGCTAAGTGACTTGTAAACTCCAAGCTCCAGCTACACCACCACTGTGCTGTATATGGATGTTACAATGTCTCCTGCAGACATGGGTAAGATCTCTGTTCTTGTATGGCTGCACATCTCAAGAACCTTTGCTATGTCTGGTATTACAACAATGAACAGGAGGAAGACAATCTGACAGTAACAGCTTCATCTTACAGTAGTCACAGTTGTTGTACTTGGTAGTACTGCTTCTTTCCTTTTTATCTTATTCACAGCCTGTAGAGGTATCTATACAGAATGTAGCCTTTTAGTATTTCTCTTAGTCCACTGCAAACTAAAAGGATGCACAGAGGGTTCAGATAGATTTAATAACATGCCACTGACACTCATCTGCTGCAAATACTATCACTGCTGAAATGACAACATGGTTTCAGGAAATTTTCTGCTGAATAAACCTGGACAATACTAGAGAAACGCTGGTAAGCAAAAAGAAACACTTGGGAGACTTAACCAAGAAAATGCCTCCAGTTTCCATCAAAGGCATCATCATGCTAGTCCCTGAAGTGTTGGCTGCATCTTTAGGTGGCTGGGTAACATCAACAGACAAAATAATTTCTTCCCCTGGTTAGCTTGCTGAGAAAATCATTCCTTTGTTCCAGATATCCACAACAGTTCACGTTCTTATTAACCTCAAACCATCAGACAGTATCCGACTATGTGAAACTAAATGTGGGGAGACTATACAGTACTAAATAGTAGAGGGTTGGCTAGCGCAGGCATTTGCTTGCCTTCCTTGGGGTCATGTTACCTTAGATCTCAGCCTAGTGCTAGTAGGATTAAGAGGAACATTCTTTTCAGTTAAGGAAGAAAAGGCACATTTGGTCCATTACATGTTACTGTTCTTATTTTCCTGACAGATTAACAAGAATACTAAGATTTAAAGAGAGGGATGGAGGGGGTGAATGTTCTATCAATTCCTCTGAGATTCATGAGAAATAGTAACACTAAGGCCAAAGAATTTAGTCCTATTTAAGAACTCAATCAATCTTGGAATTCAATAAAAGGCTTTTATAGACTCTGTTTCCAATCCTTTTTCTGGTTTCTGGGCCACACTTCAGCAATCGAAAGTCTATCCACGATTCACTGATGAGCCAGCAAAACCCCTGAATGGTAATGAGAACCTTCCAGTAGAAACAGTCACAGCACAGTGCTGCTGCTAATTCATCACTTTGAGGCAAACCGCAATACACACAAGGGTGAAAGGACAATTTAAAAATCGATTGCCTGACAATTTAAATATCTATTAATAATTACGGGTTTGCTTTTTGAGCTCTGCACTGCTCATTTACTCTTAATATCTTCTTCAACACATAACTGACTTTGGAAAACAGTGTTTCTCTACAAGGTGATATAAAACGTTTAAACTCACAGACACCCTTTGCTCTTCTGCAAAAGCTCATGGATAATTCATCAACTTCCCATTTTTAGGGTGTTCTTTTTTTAAAAGCTTTACTTTTTTTTCTTAAAGCAACACAAACATTTTCTTGAGAAGACTTCTCCCTGAGTACTCAAAATTATATGAATGGTTATTCACCAGGAGCTGGAGTGATAGGATGTCCTGGGTTACACAGAAATTCTGGTATCCACCTTTTTTTTTTTTTCTGCAAATATGCCTTTTTGGTGTTCTGCCTTTTAGAGACTGAATGATTAACGACTCAAACACTGGACCAGTGACAGCCCAAGGGCTGTCAGAGACTGGGCTATTGGTGCTCATGGCTCAATCAGCAGTGTGCTTTGTAACAATGTGCAGAGTGGGCACCCTGGCCAGGTGCTGCAGGTGTGCACATTCGACACCTCAGGCTACAAACATGGTGTTGAACAGCATAAGGAAAGGGGAAAACCCTGCAAGATGGGGTAGTGTGTCTTTCTTCTTACACAGATGATTCAGTTGTGATAATTCCCCAGGACATTCACACCAAGCCTGAAGGTATTAATCTCTTGTTGATGAGCCATAATGGGTCATAATGGACAGCTGCAACGTCTTAGGAGGTGTCAAAGTCTCCCAAAGTATCCTGTGACTCACAGTATTACATCATTAAGCATAAAACTCCCCATTGCAGGGGAGGTATCAGAGGACTTTCCATCTGACCCTGAGTTTTGGGGTTTCCTGAACTGCCCTGGACTTTCACCACCACCTCAGATCTGGTCTGTGATTATCACTTTGACCAACACACACCGAAATTGCAACACCGAAGTCTGGTCATTGGATCCAATAGGTCCTTCCAGTCACTTGGGGGGTTTGCAGCCCTGCTCTGACTGCCTGTACCAGCACTGCAATCTCATTCCAGTGCCATGCAAGTGTCTGCCATATTGAATCCCATCTATCCACTGTTTCCTGTCAGCACTGACTCTCCCACCTTTCCTGCATGTTTTTCAGATGTAGGGGAGGGAACCATATGGATGGGTGGTCCTCTGCTCTCTGGGTTGTGGCCACGTGTGCTTTTTCCAGGTGTGGGAGCCTGGCTGCATCTCAATTTGGTCTGGTGAGCGGGGCTTTGGAAGTTTCTCCTCATCAGTTGGTTTAACTCAGTTTTATCAATATTGTTATTAGCATTTCTTCTTGGTGAAGAGCTATTTTTTCACTTTCATCTGGGCATATTTAGTCTCTCTCTCTGCATTGGAGAAACCAAGGGTAGTGAATCCGAGGGAGGAAACTTCTGTCTGAGGTCTCTACCCTTTCAAATTGTCTCAGACTGAGACATAGGACAAGGAATAATAGGTTCAAAGTACAGAGGGGAAATTTAGGTTAAATATATGGAAAAAATTCTTTACTG